TTACCACACTGTCTAATACACACACAAAGTTCAGTTTTTGAGTATTTGGAGCAAATATTATTAATCAACGTAAACAGTCAATTAATGTAGTTTGAATGCTGGGATCATATTAATTGGTCCTTGTTAACAAAAAATATTTAAACAGTTTTTTTTTTTTATTTTTTAATGAAATAAGCGAACTATATCGATAATATTAGTATCTGTACTCTTTGAAAATTTGTTACATCTTTAAAAATAATCTAAAATGTCAATATTTCATGGGTATAGTGATAAATGAGGTCTAAATTATAAGAAAATGCATTTTCTACAAAAACTTGAAGAGATAGGTAAAAAATGCTATAATACAATTTGATAGACAATTACATTGTGCATGTGATTCATGTAAAATATATAGGGTGTTCCATTTAAATTAAACAAGTTACTGCCGTTTAAAGCTAGTAATTATTTAATATAAATTTTTGAACACTCTGTATAAGGTATTAAATTTTTTATTATAGCAACACAATATCTGATCAATATATAATCTTCAGTAAATATTTAGTATTAAAAACTTTGATACCCTTGGAGAAATAAAGCCTTAAAATTTTTAGTGCAATTTCATAAAATTGAAAATATTTCAAAAACGGTAAGGTTTAAGTGTGATAAACCTTAGTCAAATTTACCTTTATTTCAATCGTAGAATCTAAAAATAAATTAATATACAGGGTGTTCTATTTAAAAAAATACAACTATAATATTTTTAACTTATTTGGGACACTCTGTATCTTGTAAAAAAAAATTTAAATTGTAGCTCTAATAGTCCTTCAACGAACCCAGAACTTACAATTTGTAAAAATCTAATCGTTTAGCTACCATACTCCGTGTCGTATGTGGTGAACAACCCTGTATATGATTTGGTAAGATAGGAGTGTCCTGTGAGGGATCTAACAACTTTACAGAAAGATCCGCGTTCAAGAGAATATTATATTTTGATACAGATGAAGAAGTAGCATATGTGATCTAAGTTTATTAGTTCCCTCGAGGATGTCCCATTCATTTTGAAGCATACTGAAGAACACTTTTTTGTGGAAATTTCTGAAATCGAAATTTTTATTTAATATTCATTAATAATTAATACCAACAAAAGTTGAATAACAAATTTCATAAGAAAGCGTGCATTACCGAATACAAGGAGTTAAATAATCGAATATTGCTAGGAAGTCCTAATTAGCTACAATAGCGAAAAATTAAGTTCAAAGCTAATAATTACTGAAATGTATTGGGCAAAATTAATTAGTAGACAGACTGTGCGTCTCGTCAGAAATAACATTTGTATCTATACTTTTAGTTTAAACTCAATATTTAGAACGTTTCCTGTCCAGTTATGATCTTCCTGTATCATTATATGGATGTACAGGGTGAGTCAACGATAGAGTAAAGTCCATTATCTCATTTGTTTCGAGGTTTACAAAAAATTATTAAATATAAAAGTTATAGGGACGGTTAGGATACACATTTTAAAATTATTATAGAGTACACAGGGTGCTTCAAAAAAGCGTGACGAATATAACATATGTTTTTTTTAAATGGAATACCCTATTTTTTATTTTATTTTTAGATTCTGCGTAAAATTCCATAACTTTTTTGTATATAATGTTATATACCTAAAATTAATAGTTTCTGTAATATTTAAATTTGTTTAAACAAATGTCAGATTGCAGTGTGATAAAAAATTGTCAGTAATGGCATTGTTTCTGAAGTTGGAGAACCAAAATTTGGTAGGAGAATTTAATAGAGATATAGAAAAAGATTTATGTAAGGATATTTTAGTTAGATGCTACAGGGTGTTCAAAATATATTTATGAATTTCAACTATTTAAAATTAAAAAATTTCAAATTTTTTAAATGGTACACCATATATATTATCATTTTTTCTGATAGACTTTACAAAACTCTTCAACTTTTGTTAAGTATGTCATATACCTATTTTTAATAGTATGCGATTTATTCCAATTTTTTTCTATTATTACCCATATTTTTAATACAATTACGCTATAACATCATAGTTACCATGACAAAAAGTAATAATTATCAAAATGTCTTGTCTGTTAAGCAAGTTAAGAACAAAATTTGAATTTTAGTTTAATATGTTGTAATAAGTATAAATTGTAGAGATAATAGTTACAGATTTTCCTGAAATGAATTAGTCAATGTGACTGATATGCACGAACAAGCCAAGAAAAACATATTTTTTGGTTCAGTACTATATTAAATTATATAGTGCTTTGCTAAGTAGTATAAGAATAGATGTAAATGATCTAGAAAATATCTTCAGTGTGTAAATGGGACGGTTTCAGGGCAGTAGTAATATTGGCTTTACCAAATGAATTATAAACCAGAATTACTACGAGAAAAAACTTTACTGTATGTCGAAAAAAATTCCTATATTAGTAGTCTTCAACAATTAGATAATCTAGTATTACCTTAATCCGTGGCTATTCGCCCCGACGCGCAACGGAAAGCACGGTTCGGAAGTAGTTAATTAAGACGTAATTTACCTGTTTAACTACGTGTAGTTTTTCTTCAAAAACTACGTCTTTTCTCGTTCATTAACTACATGAAAACTACGTTAATGAACTATGTATTCATATTATGAATAATTTTCCTTAGTATGAGATGTAATAGAAATAATATGATGTAAATATTATATTTAAAGCCATATATCTTCTGTTTTCTTAAATACATGATGTGTTTTTAAAGCTTCAACTTATTAAAACCTCACCTCAAACCTTTGATATTTCAAAGTTACATACATAAGTTACATAAACTACACCCTCTACATAAACTACATTAACTACATGTAATGTAGTTTATGTAGTTCAGTAATATCAGTATCTACTGATATTCTTTAAAATGAGTGCCGGAACGAATCAGATAGGTAACTCTTTTTTACTTTCGTGAAATAGAAAAGGAAAATAATAAAACAAGTGACAGTTCTTCCTCTTCTTGCAAAAATCATCGCGAAATGTCATAATTGACATAAGTAAAATGTCATCAGTCTTTGACATTTCTAAATATCAGACCAATGCCGTCTCTAATTGAACAGCCTCGGAGCGAGATTTATGACCTCACGCTACTTAGATACCACGGATTAATAAATATGTTGTAGAATACATGGAAAACATAATTATTCCTCGTATTTTTGGTTTGAATTTTAAAAATGATAGTTTACATGAAATATACATAACATACAGTTAATAAATACAATATATATATACCTATTTATAATAATAAATACTTTGGCAAATAAACTATGAACCATACAAATGCACCAAATATTTTACAATATACAAATAATGAATAGGTACATAAGATAATGGGTAAAATGTAAAATATATTTTAGATTTTGGGGTTTGAAAATCGATCTAATTTAACAAAAAACATTCAATATCTACTAATAGTGATGTATTATTATTTGCATTCACAAAATTTATATGTATATTTCGCAAGCATCATATGCTTGTTCGAAAAATTATATTTGCAAATAATACAATATCATAAAAAAAGGCGTCAGCGATGGCTATGAAGATCGCTGTCATTTTATATGTAAAATTATTCTAAAATTTTTGATTTTCTTGGGATTTAGGTTCGGAAAAAACGCTGATTAAGTTTTCATTTGGTTTTTCATTATTTTTTTTGGTTTAAAAAAAATTATAGCTAACGTTTATAGCCTTCATCAGTGTTGTGTCATATGAAAAAAATAGTGTCGAATATATAATCCAAAAAATTACATATACGAGAAATAATTATGTTTTCCATGTATTCTACAACATAATTAATCCGTAGTATCTAACTAGCGTGACGTCATAAATCTCGCTCCGATACTGTTCTATTAGAGACGGCAGTGCAACAGCATGGCCGCAAGTTGCTAACCTAATAAAATTTACACTAGAAAAGCCCGCGGGAACTGTCAAACTCAAAGTTATTCGTTTCACAGACTATACAACTGCTGTAACTCGTTACTGTCTTATTCAAAAAAGCAAATATCTCCAATAAAGATAAAGGTATTAAAATTAATCAAAAAACAAACTATCGAGAAAAGATCTAATAAATAATTTTATCATCTAGGATAAAATTATTTTTAAATGCCATACTTTATTAACACATTCCACAGGGTATTTCAAACTTTCACCAAAATATCAATATTTTGTTTTCCCTCGCATAATTGACAGATGGCCACTTTCATTTTTAATTTGGGAAGAGTTACTAAAAAGTCGAATAATTTAGCTACAAACTACTTAAAAAAATCATCAAAATCGGCCCATTAGAACCAAATCTATTAAACTTTAAAATACCTCAAAATTTTATGCCGGTGAGTGTATAATAAACAAAAAAGAGCAATTTATCAATCACAAGTCCATCCCCGTTTGGACAGTAACCAAATTATACGTAAGAATAATTTTGAACAAAGAAAGACTATAAATAAAATATGAACAAATGTGATATTAATAGAATACTGTAAACGTTGCAAAAACCAAAATATTTTGAGACATGCGGCTGTTACAATTCTCTCAACGGAAATGAAATTTTTCATTTTTGTAAAATTAAAATTTCATATTCATAAAAAATTAATCTAGATTTCTACAAACTTCAGATTAAAGTAACATTTTTAACGCATGCTTTCAGTCTGTCTTATAATTTAATTTCACTAGTGGTAAAATATGCACAGGGTGTCCCATTTTAGGTTGGGTTGTTGGGTTGTATATCCGTATATGCGGTATGCACAAACCAGCCCACTTTTTTGTGAAAGGGAAGATGCTGCAAAAAAGTATTCATAACCCTCTTCATTTCTGAACTGCCGGGCCCAAAAACAAAAAAAATATTTTTCGGAATATCTTCCAAGTATTCGGATAATTTGTATTTGCAAAACGGTATTTTATTCGTCAAAAGTTACCTTTTTCTTTAGACCATTTTTAATTAAATACCCTGTATGTCATTTCTTGTGAAGTATCGGTATGTCAATGTCATTACATTAATTCTACATGTTCATTTATATTTATAATTTTATATTTATTACACTTAAAAAAAGTTATATAAAAGAAGCAATTCGCTCTGTTATAATGGACGAGAAATTACAGAAACATTATGCAGCTTTCGACCAGTATCTGCGCAGACAAAAACGTGAATTCGAAGTGAAAATCAACCAAGAAGTAAAACAAAATTGTACGTTAAACGATTATGAAATTATTAGAATGCTGGGAGCTGGTTCTTTCGGTATGGTCGTACTCTGTAGGTATGTACCTTGAAGTCTAATTTAACTTGAGATAAGTAGAATACAGTAGTATGAACTTTGCATTGCTGAAAAATGCATTAAAGTGACATTCATTACCGTTTTAGAGAAAATAAAAAAAAAACATGAAAATATGGTTGAATTTTTTTGAAGTCCTAAAAAACAAAACGCGTTCTTGTAGTAATATAATTTCGTTTTCATTCTTTTATAGAATGTTAGTTATAGAATTTTAATTAACGTCATATTTTTGGCAGTTTTAATGTTGATTCTCACTATACATTCCATATCAGCTCCCTTCCGTTTACATAAAATATATATTATATCATGTAAATGAATAGGACAATGCACACTATCCGTTTCGTTTCCCTTCCGTTCCATATCCTTTCCTTCCATACATTTTTTTTGACGGACGGACTGAAGTGTATCGGGAACAGCGTTGTCAAGTTCTTACATTCGTACCAGCTCTGTTAAAATTTTGCTGATATTTATTTACTCTTTACTCTAAAAAGTATGGAACTGATACGGAACGGAAGCTTACGTACCGGGTGGCCAACTAAGTAAGTAATGGACGTCGGCTGTATCTCAGACACTACTTATCGTATAACTTTGAGAAAAAAATTCTAATAAGTAAATCGACCAAGAGAAATCGCTGGAAATTATTTTCAAGTCGAAAATTGTCCGCTAGGGGGTGTTTCTCTGATAGCCAATCAGAAAACATCAGAGTTTTTTTCAAAAATATGCAGGTGAACAGGTATTTTATATATTACTATTGTTGTTTATTATATCTATTGTCGAAAAATTTGTATTTTTTTTTATATAGAGTATTTTTCTCTATCTCATAAAATAAAGTGGTGGGGGAAGGTTAAAGTTGATTTTATTAAAATAAAGATAAGGTTTAGATTAGCTAATTTAAACAAACTAGGGCTCGTTGAAAAGAGGTTTTCTTCCTTAATCGTCTCCAGTATAAATTTTGTATCCATAATTTTTTTCGTGGTAGCTAGATGGCGCTGTTTGACACCATCACAGATATTGCGCTTTTGCAGAAAAAAATTAAATAGGGGGCTATATTTCTCTTTGCACAGTTAAATAGAGCACAAAATTTCCAAAAAATCAGTGCAAACCGTAATTTTCTATCTTCTCTCTAACCGGAGATATTAAGAGAACAAATCATGTTAGGCTGCCGTTTAGGATTATATGGTCTAAAAATTATAGTAGTAGGCTAGGAAACAAAAACAGGTAACTTGGTACGTCAAAATATCAAAACGATTAAGTTCAGTTTTCATGCATCCGAATTTCGGGCGTTTTCTTAAAAAAAATGACGTCATAAGTTTTTAAACGGGTTTATGTAACGTTATCGTCCATCAATATAATGTTTACGAATTTCTTGGTTAATTATACGTAGGTAGTTCTAAGATTAGAATGTCCAAAAGTCGGATAATCAATAATTTTATAAACTTTTCTAGGAATTTTGTGCCGCCATATTGCTTTTGACAGAAAACGGCCGAATTTCGTGTGGCTGAAAACTAGGGGTTTATTTTATGTAACGGCATTTAGTTATTAATTCAAGTTCGTTCTTGATTTCACTTGTTTTCGTGTTTTACCTGTTGTTTTTGTTATATATTATTATATTAAAGTTTATGTCGTTTGGGTCACTTTCCAATATGCACTACTGGTCCAAATCTACCCTTGATGCAAGTAGTTCAGTACCAAGACCGTTGGTCGGTAAATGTTTAGGCAGGAATTCTAGGATGGTGAATGATTGGACTTTTTGAATCATCCGAATGAAATAATAACTAACTATCCATAATTAAAAGATTAAACTATCAAACTATCCATAATTTCTAAAAAATCAAACTATCCATAATTTCTAAGAGACGAATTGCCAATTTTGTTAGAGGATCCATAAATTGCATTTGTTGCAATTTCATCAGCATGAGTGTAGTTGATGCAGTTGGTGCAGTTGTGCCGCTTATTTTGCTATGAATGTGTGGGGCTTCTTGGATACCACTTACTTTAGTAGATAGAGACGCTAGAGCGGCATATTTTCCATAGCCAGCTAGGTCATTGGATTTAATATACCTGGATTTTAATTTATGGTGTCGAATCAAGAACGAACATGGATAAATAACAATTAAATGGTATTAAAATGAAATTAAAATGTATGTTTTGATATTTTGACGTAAACAAATTTACCTCTTTTTGTTTCCTAGCCTACTTCCAAACTACTCCAATTTTTAGACCGTATAATCCTAGGCGACAGCCTAATATGATTTATTTTCTTAATATCTCCCGTTAGAGGGAAGATAAAAAGTTGCGGTTTGCGCTAATTTTTTGGAAATTTTGTGCTTTATTTAAGTGTGCAAACAGAAATATAGCCTCCTATTTAATTTTTTTATGTAAAAGCGCAAAATCTGTTATAATGTTAAACAGCGCCCTCTAGCTACCACGAAAAAATATATGGAAACAAAATTTATACTGGAGATCATTAAGGAAGAAAAGCTCTTTTAAACGAGCCCTAGTTTGTTTAAATCGGCTAACCCAAACAAGAGTTGTCCTTATTTTAATAAACGCAAGTTTAACCTTCCCCCACCACTTTATTTTATGTGATAGAGCAAAATACTCTGAATCAGAAAAAATACAAATTTCTCGATGATTACAATAGTCATATTTAAAATACCTGTTCACCTGCATATTTTTGAGAAAAACCCTGTTTTCTGATTAGCTATGGAGAAACTCCCCCTAGCGGACATTTTTCGAACTTAAAAATAATTTCCAGCGATTTCTTTTGGTCGATTTACTTATTAAATTATAATAATGAATTTTTCCCGAAGTTATACGATAAATAATTTCTGTGATACAGCCGGCGTCCATTCTTAGTTGGCCACCCGGTATATCGTCAATACAATAAAAAATACGGAACGGATATGGAATGGAAACGGAAGGTATAGTGAGAATCAACCTTTAAAATGTTAAAAAAACACAAAATTTATCTAGTTAAACGTTACGGAAAGAGTGATAATACAATATAATCAAGGAAAAAACGGCGTCAGTGATGACTATGAAATGAAGATCGCTGTGCTTTTATATGAAAAACTATATGGGGAATGTCATCGATCGTCATTTCCAAGCCAACTGGACGCCGTTTTTTTTCGATCATACGGTAGTTATCGGAAATGTGATACTGTAACAATAACAAAAAATATGATGTTAATCAAAATTAATAATAACCATCTATATGAAATAGAGGTGGAAATTCTAGTTCCTTGGGAGTAACTAGTTCCTTAGTTCTAGTTCCTACAGAGGAATAGTTCCTTAAAGTTTTAATTTACAATAGTTCCCGACTAACATTGACATCCCCCTTGCTTACTAATGCCTTTCGTTGTCAGTCAGAACTATGCATAGTATGATCTGTATAATTTTTATAATGTACGGAGATATAACGAGACGTGTAATTGTGTATGTTAAAAACATATAGGTAAGTTTTATAGCAGATAAAAAAATTAAAAAAAAACTATATCACAAATCAATTGGACAAAAATTTTACGAAAATTGCATTTTTCCTCACTTCAAGCTTTTTGTTTTTGTCTAAAAATTCAGAATATCTACTTCGTTTTACAAGATATTTCTTAATTTTATGGACCTAAAGTGAAACATTCCCATAAAATATTTAAAAAACAAACTAAAAATCAAAAACAGTATCCACGACAATTGTCTGTGGTAATTACGCCGCGCCGGCTGTGGCAATAGACAAGGCCGAATCCATCGTCGTCGCCTTGTATTATATCTCAGATCTGCCGACTGAATAGATTCCCGTGAACGAGTCTTTTAATAGTTCCTCTATGTCCGGATCCGATAACATACGGCTGACACTCCCCACGCCTGCCTAGCATCAATCGCGCTGGCTGATCCATACGTAAACTAGTATTTTATTTAGTTCCTTTAGTAAATGATGGCGATCAGCAGACACCAGTACAACACTCATCTTAACATCAATGGAGAGAACATCGAACGGGTCACAAATTTCACCTATCTTGGCGCCTCCCTAAATGAACTGTGGGATTGCGATGAGGAAGTTAAAAGAAGAATCGGCCGTGCAAAAACAACCTTCTTTAAACTAAAGAATTTACTCCTGCATAGAAATATGCCGCTACATACCAGGATACGGGTAATTCAATCGTATGTGTGGCCTGTGATGTTGTATGGTACTGAGACTTGGTCACTTAAGGTAAAATCAATAAACAGAATTGAGGCTTTCGAAATGTGGACACTTCGCCGATTGCTGCGCATACCCTGGACGGAGCATGCAACAAATGATGAAGTCCTAAGAAGAGCCAGAGTAGACAGACAACTAATGGATACCGTAAAACAACGCAAAGTATCATATCTATGACATATATTAAGGGGACGTCAATACTCCATACCCAGGTTGATACTGCAGCAGGAAGATCGAAGGCCGACGGGGACCGGGTCGAAAACAGCATTCTTGGCTTCGCAACATAAGAAACTGGAGTGGCATACCTGACGCCGCAACAATATTTCGACGAGCCGAAGAGGGCACCCTAGTCATCTTATAGCCATAAAACAGACGAATGATCGCCAACGTGCGGCATAGCACATGGCACCCAAAGAAGAAGTTCCTTTAGGTCCGGATCCGATAACATACGGCATACAGCTGGCACTCCCCACTCCTGCCTAGCATCGATCGCGCTGGCCCGATCCGTTCGTACGTAAACTAGTCTTTTATTTAGTTTAGTTCGTTGCAAACAGCAAGCAAATGTTTTTATGAAGAATGCATTTTTCGCAAAATGTCAATAATAAAAATGTTTTCCTCTTGTAAAGCCAATCCGGGGACTGTATAAAATAAAAAAAAATCTCAATTTTAAGCAAAATCTTTTCATTTTAGGGACAAAAGAAATAACAAAACTTATGCGTTAAAGCTAATGGAGAAAATAAATATAGTGAAAACAAAGCAACTGGTGCACACAGCTGCCGAGATAAAACTAATGAAGAATTTGAATTTTACCTTCATCGTTGATATGCATGGATTTTTCATGGTATAATAATATCTTTTTGTACTAGACAATATTATAATCTATACTAATATATAAAATCCTTAAGTGACTGACATACTGATGTAAGAAGCTCAATTTTGGCATACAGGTTGATTCTAGGGTGTAGAGGTTCGATAAGAGGGGATTTTTCGAAATTCCAGTTCCAAGAGGTTGAAACCACCCCTCAAATATTACAATATTTTTTATTTGAAAAACGGTCAAGTTTCCGAAAAAACGCTTAAACACGTATATTTTATTTTGTTTTTTTTACATATTTTAAGATTTTTTAAAAATGTATACAGGGTGTTTCGAAAAATCTGGTCGTTGATTAATCACGATCCTGCTTAAAGCGCTTGACGTAAAAAGCTGATTTTTGGAAAACAGATTGACTTTAGGGTGTAGTGGTTCGATAAGAAGGGATTTTTCGAAACTCGAATTCTAAGGGGGTGAACCTATCCCTCAAATATTAAAATATTTTTTATTTAAAAACCGGTGAGTTTTTCGGAAAAACTCTTAAACACGTATATTTTATTTTGCTGTTTTACATATTTTAAGATTTTTTATAAATTTATACAGGGTGTTTCATAAAATATGTCCATTGAGTAATCACGATTCTGCTTAAACTGCTTGACGTTTGAAGCTGATTTTTGGCAAACAGATTGACTGTGGGGTGTAGTGGTTCGATAAGGAGGGGTTTCTCGAATCTCAAATTCCAAGAGGGTGAAAACGCCCCTCAAATATTGCAATATTTGTTATTTAAAAAACGGTTGGTCTTTCGGGAAAACGCTTGGCCAAGCATAACTTATTTGATTTTTTACACATTTTGAAGTTTTTAAAAAAAAATCATACAGGGTTTTCCAAAAAGTTGGGTAATTTCTTAACCACGATTCTGCTTAAACTGCTTGACGTGAAAAGCTTATTTTTGGCAAACGGATTTTTCGAAAGTCAAATTCCAACGAGATGAAACTACCTCTCAAATATTACCAAGTTATATAATAATATCGCCATATTGTTTTTTCTCATGCTGACATAATTGTGAGAAAATTTTATCCAGTTTGTATGTTAATGGAAATTCTTGCTTTGCTTTATCATCACGTTTGTTGAAAAATTTTTTGGGTTTTTTTTTAGTTTTTAGTTAAAAAACACAATTTCTTGATAATATGGCAACATAGGTATTAGATTAAATTTACAAGAAAAAAAATTCAGAAAAGATCCAATGGTTCTCAAAATTTTAGCAAAAAATAATTTTTTTTTGGAAATTTTCAAAGTAAAATAACTCCGTTATTTTGGACTTACTTGAAAAACGATAAAAAGGAAATATGTTTCTTTTATCGAGATCTACCACCCCTTAAAATATTTGCACTTATTTCTGGGACACCCTGTATTACATAATTCTTTCCCGTATGAAAACAAATGCAGTCACTACACTTGCTGCTGAAATATTTTGTAACAAATTTCTAATTTTCTAGATAAGACTTTTAACTGCAAGAATAATAATAAATTTCTAGGATAATGTTTATGTAGGTATTTGCATGTCCTTCGCCAATGCAGGAGACATGTTCACCCATCTGCGCGAAATGAAAAAATTCGACGAAACTTTGTCTAAGTTCTACGCAGCCCAAGTCATTTTGGGGTTCGAGTATTTTCATTATTTGGGAGTCGTATACAGGTAAGTCGTATAAATATAAATAAGTATACCCAATACCAAATAAACTTTTATTTACGTCGTCGAGGGTGCGATTATTAAATTCATTGTTGCCAACAATGGACATATTTGGCGCTGGACTGTAGAATGGATAATGAGTGAGAGGGGGGATAATCACCTTAAAGATCTATTGTGTCCCTCTTTCTTGAGTTTATAACTGATCATACAGTCTGTAACTCATCATACATGGGGATTTTCCTGTTGTATGTTCCTGTTAAAAAAATACAACTTTGAATTTTTTTACTTATTTGGGACAGCCTGTACCTTTTGAAAATAATTTTAAATTGTAGGTTTAGTAGTCCTCCAACGATCCCATCACCCACAATTTCCAAAAATCCAATCATATGGATACAATATTCCGTGTCGACCCTGTGGACAACCCTATATGTATAAAACAACTATTCAAAATTATTTATTATGGAATATTTTCTCTGAGTTTCTTAATTTTTTAAAAAATATCGAAATATGACGATAATTAGGACAGTGACGGTAATTGGACTTTTACCATAATTAGATCTGTATTTTCAGAGACCTGAAACCGGAGAACATACTTGTCGATAATCAGGGCTATTTAAAGATAACCGATTTAGGATTTTGTAAGAAAATCGATAATGCCCGGACTTATACTTTATGCGGTAAGTAAATTTCACAATATGTATGCATACGACAGACTTTTTGTTATAATATTTTAAACATTCCAGGCACACCGGAATATCTAGCGCCAGAAATCATTCTAAGTCAAGGTTATAATAAGTCGGTCGATTGGTGGTCGATGGGAGTGTTGATCTTTGAAATGGCCGCCGGATTTGCTCCATTTTACGCCAAGGATCCGATGAGGCTCTACGAAAAGATTGTATCCGGAAAATACTCTTGCCCTGTACATTTTTCGAAGTCTTTGAAGGATCTGCTGTCTAATATGCTGGTAGTAGATAGATCCAAACGGTAAATATAAAAGAGAGATGTGGAGATAGGGGAGACCCGAATACGCGTATAACTAATCTCGAAAAACCTTGAAATTTAAGATAATTTTATTCCTGCTGATCTCTCTTATCTAAAATAATGTCCTAATTTCAGATATACCACCCACCATTTTGGAGGGAACACCCCTTTTATTTTTATCATATTATCGCACCTTCCCATACAGCCACGATACGTACTATGTACGTACCTGGGACGTATTGTTGGGACGAACGTCAGGTCCCTGGTACGTACTATGTACGTACTAGAGACGTACATTTTCCAACTCTTTGTACGTCCCCGGTACGTCCCTGGGATGTGGTAAAGTACGTACTATTACGTCGCATGTACGTACATTCCAGGTACATACATTTTATGTTTTGTTCCGGACCAAAAGTGGATGTAAAATGATTTTCGATCGATAAAATGATCGAAAAATCGTCGTACATTTTTCAACGACGTATTCGACCTAGGAATTTAATTAGAAATAATTCAATGGAAGTCAGCTTAAAATATTTATTAATATAAAAACTCAGGTACAGGGTCATGCCTTATGTCTTGATACTCCCGTGAGTCTGGCTTCGGTCCAGCAACTACACCCTTAGCGCACTCTGTCTTTTATTGGATGTTGATAGATATTTTATTTTTTTTATTCTCGAACTGCTTCTAACTAAAAAATACAAAAAGAAAACTAAGTATTCAAATATCTAATTCTTGCCTCTGCTTTGAAAAAATTGAATGAGCCGATTCTCTCTCTGAAGGATACAGGGGTAGGTGCCCATTGGTTAGGAGTATTTTGTTTTCTTCCCAAATACTCCTATCCCTGTCCCTGCTTTGGTTTTAGAAGCATCAGTATACCACGTTATGGTATGGTCTTTTACATGCTGAGTAATTGTTTCTTCCTTCCAATCTTTTTTATTGCTCAATACTACAATGAGGTGTTTCTCAAAGTTGTAAATTCTTGGTATGTCATCCATCACTGGGAGTTGGAGAAGTGGAATTTCCTTTTTGAGGGTGTTCCAAGCCCCTGACCTGAAAATTCTCCCAGTACTGTTTCCGTCAATGACCATTCTAATTAAGTTATTTTAGTACATGCATATTTTTAAAATTTAATTACTAGCTATTCTTACAGAACGAGTGGTCGACTAAATTAAACTTCTCCCGTGCCGCCTCTTCGAGTGCCTCTCTTAACTGATAAGTTTTTTTGTAAACCTTGTTGTTAACCATACCGCATAAAAAATCTAAAATGGATAGGTCAGGTGATCGAGGAGGCCCATGCAATAATTGGTTCACCTCTTCCTATCCCTGAGTTTGAATAATTATCATATAAATAATTTTTAACATCTCTTTCATTATGGAGTTGGGGGATATCATAATGAAAGTCATGTCTATTGATGCGCCAGTATATAAATTTAACTTTTCTAACATGTCTTGAAAACCATTCTCTAAAAAACGTAAGTAACGTTCACCGGTCAACGTATCCTCGAAAATGTATGGCCAAGAAAAGTTGAACAAATAATACTACACGCTCTTCTTCATTTGAAAAATTCATATTTACAACTTTTGTTCATTTCAATTTACAAAGTTTGGATGCGACAATTTCACATTTCTGAGAGCGACGATTGAACTTGTTTCCATATGGCTAACCAAGTGAAATTGTTTAAAAATGATAAGAATTGGCTATAACTTAATTTAAAATTAATTTTTCGAAAAAAAAACATATTATAGCTTATATCGATGAAAACTTAAAAAATGGCGCTTTTTATGAAGTCATGGCCAAGCATGGTTTCCATTTTCCATTTAATAAAACATATGTTTGTGTCATATGTCAAAAATGACTGGCTTCGGAGAAAAACGGAGGACAAACTCTCATTAAGGATGTGATTATCTACAACTTTTATCTGAACACTTTTTAATAATAATAATAGAATTAGGAACAATTTTTAAAATAGCCGAAATTTGTTTTTTTTTCGAAATATCTAGTAAGCCATGAACTTTTTCAAAAATCTGAAAGGCGCATGTTTATGACCCCACAAAACTGCAATTCTTTCCCCATTTAACCGACTCTCTATCTCCAATAGTTTCTGAGATGCCCATAGAGAACATCGTAGAAAACTCATTTGTAAATAAGTTTAAATAACTAGTTTTTAAGTGTTATATAGTTTCTTGTTGTGTTCGTTAGAGAAAATAAAATTTGTTAAATAAATAGGTCTTATTTATAAATTATCCACATGGAACCCAGTAAAAACGTAGCAATACTTATAATTCAGCGCTAATGTTTTAGGTATGGCCTGTTAAAAAATGGTACAAAAGATATAAAAGGTCACGAGTGGTTCAAGAACGTGGATTTCGATCAAATAATCGGACGAAAAGTGGTTCCGACCTACCAGCCCAAAGTGGACGGTGAAACGGACACAAGATATTTCGACGTGCCTTCGAAAGCTGTCCAGATTAAGAAGTTATCCACCGATCCGTACCAGGCTGAGTTTATTAAAATGTTCTCGGCACAACCTCCAGAGACCGAAAAAGAAACTACAAAATAGTATAAATTATTCTTTTTTGTGTTAAATAAATGTATATTTTGTGTTATAATATGTATATTATGTTTATTTTTTTTTTGGCGAAGAAACGAAGCTGAACTCGAAAAAAATATGGCATCATTTAGTAAAATTAACAAATCAGCAGCTGCGGTACATAGGAAACTTTTGATGGCTTGTTCTTATTACGGAATCTATGCTTAATGCCTTCAGTCTCCCCTATCTTTTTTATAGTAGATAATGATGCTGCAATAGTCGCAAATAAAGTTTTTTTTATTCTTCATGAAACTTATATCCTTCAGTTTTTATCTCCCCACAGATGGCATGTTTTATATTAACTATGTTTTAACTTAACACGTTAGAACCTAGACATACAGGGCGGCGCAGGCACCTCTCATACGCCGCGGAAGCTCCAAAGAGAGCGACAGTTTGTATTGAAATGAAATTTTGTGGGCATATTATTATGTAGGTTAATTCAGAGCACTTTTTAAAAATATAGAGAGTCCTACAGGGTGTCCACAAAAAAAGTTATTTATATTCTCTCTCTCTGTCTTTATTTAAAGAATGCATCCATTTTTCTCAAAGAGATCTGGTTCAAATTAAAAAAGTAGAAAAAAGACTCAAAGTCTCGGTCTCAACGTTTATACAATGTTAAACTGTTACACGTGTTTCGCTCATATACGGGCATCATCAGACCTAACAAGAAAGAACCTAAATAAATAACAAATAATAAAAAGGTCATCATAACTTACAAATACAATTAAAATTATAATAATTGCATTTGTATTGTATTGCAATACATAATAATTGTATTTGTAAGTTATGATGACCTTTTTATTATTTGTTATTTATTTAGGTTCTTTCTTGTTAGGTCTGATGATGCTCGTATATAAGCGAAACACGTGTAACAGTTTAACATTGTATAAATGTTGAGACCGAGACTTTGAATCTTTTTTCTACTTTCTCTGTCTTTATTCCTACAAGAGGAATGTAGTGGTCAGGTGATGTGTGAGGTTTGTCTCCATAATTCCCTGTCTTGTGCTTCATGTACAAGCGTGTGCAGCGGCTTGTGGGTGATTTTTGATAGCTGGTCTATCCATCGGGAGGGCGAGCGGCCTCTTGGTCTTCTTCCCGGAACCTTGCCCTTTATAATGAGTTTTTCCATACAGTCAGTATCCCTCCTCATAACGTGACCGAAATATTTAAGTATACGTGACTGTATAGAAGTTGAGAGGCGTTCTGTGATGTTCAGTTCTTGGATTATGGATTCATTGGTTCGCCGGGCAGTCCAGGGAATTCTGAGCATTCGTCGCCAACAGTACATCTCAGTTGCGTCAATTTTTTTCATTTCTGACTGTCTCATCGTCCAGGACTCGGAGCCATACATTAATATCGGAAATATTAGGCAGTGAACAAGCCTTTTTTTTAAGTGTTTAGATATGTTTTTGTCTCGCCATATCTTTGAGAGTTTTCGCACTGCCACTCTTGTCATTTCACATCTTCTTCTTATTTCCTCTTCTAACGATCCCGTGTTGTTTATAAGTGACCCAAGATATATATATTGACTTACAACCTCAAAACGACCAATGCTCACTACATCAGGTTTGTTGTTGTTTTGCCTGTCGATAATCATAATTTTTGTTTTAGAGGGATTAATTTCAAGTCCAAGTTTCTCGCTATCGTCTTCAACCAATTTTAGAAGCTGCAGTAACTCTTCCTCGTTTCCCGCTAGAAGGACCGTATCGTCTGCAAATCTGAGGTTGGTAATTTTGTGACCATTAATTGTTATCCCCCCTTGCCAATGTTCCAATGCCCTTCTCATGATATATTCAGTATATATATTGAATAACTGAGGAGATAGTATGCACCCCTGCCTAACACCACAGGTGGGCTGGAAGTCTTCCGAAGTAACGCCATTGATGGTAATTCTACTTTTGGTATTTACATAAAGATTCTGAATCAATGAAATCAAATGAAGAGGTACGCCCATTTCTTTAAGAACCATCCATAGTTTTGACCATTTGACTTTGTCAAAAGCTTTTCGATAGTCTATGAAAGAAATATAGAGCGGATTGTTAAATTTTCGGGCCTTTTTGATAATCTGACGGACATTCAAAATTTGTTCACGTGTTCCTCGAACTCTTGTGAATCCTGCTTGCTCTGGAGGGATTTGTGGTTGAATATACGGTTTTAACCTTTCGTTAATGATATGAACAAGAATCTTACTGGCATGTGAAATTAGCGCAATGGTACGAAAGTTGTCGCATTTGGCTGGAGATCCTTTTTTGTGGATGGTTATTATGGAACAATCGGTCCAATCTGATGGCCATTGGTGAGTATGCCATATCATATTACATAACTTGTGCAAGATGTCCACACCAAAATCTCCCGACGCTTGGAGCATTTCGGCCGTGATGTGATCTGGTCCCGGGGCTTTATGATGTTTTAGGTTTTTTATTGCTGCTTCAATTTCCGATTTCAGTATGTCTGGTTCTTCATTAATTATATCACTGTAGAAAGAGCAACTAGGCAACAATAAAAGCTACCTAAATTGGAATTTACCCGGTATAGCCTAATATGTAGTTAAATAAGATTAATTTAAATGATATTACATACATATTTAAAATTCAAATATTATGACATATATGTCAGTTGCCGTCTAAAATGTCATCTTGATAACAAAAAGTTAGTTATTGTCAGAAATTAAAAGTTATAATTAGATATTTTCATAATGGTACAGCGTAATGTTGATATGCAAGTCAAAACAAAAAGTGCCGTTATATTTTTCAGTTTTCGTTGTCAGCCGCGGAAGTTTCAGTGATTTTAGTGTTATCGGATATTTTTATCTGTGAAATAGAAATATGTCGATGTCGATGTCGAAATATTACCTGAGAAAAAAAATAGAGTATTAAGTGTTTTGGTGTATTGTGGTGAATTACTGTTTTATTTTGCTTTTAGTTAAAAAAACATAATTTCTTGATAGTATATGGAAACATAGGTAGATACTACAATAAATTTACATAAAATAAAACCCTCAAAAGATCCAGTAATTCTCAAAATTTATGCAAAAATACAGTACAGGGTGTGTCAGATTTAAGATCCATACCAAAGTTATATTTTTTCTTATGGAACACCCGGTATTTTATTTTATTTTTGAATCCTTGGACGTAAAATAAAACATTTATTATACGGGTTAAATATGTTTACAAGCTTTAGTTTTTGAGATATTTAAAGATATTTAAATATGCATTTTGTAATAAAAATTATTGTCAACACCCTGTACACATTACTTTTCAGAATTTTTGTGGTGACTTTTAAGCAAGAGAAATAAATATCTTTACTAAAAAAATTCGTTGTTTCCTTAAATGTATAGAGGGGTATCCAAAAAATTGCTAATAAAAAATAAAAACTTCGTTATGCAAATGCAAATTTAAATGTTCTTTCAAACTATATTAGGATTGCCTATACCTAACTGGCTCAGATTTTGAATAAAGAATGATTTTTCAATAAAATGGTAAACAATAGGGCTGGTGTCGTCATAGCAATTTTCTAGTAACAGTTAGTAGCCATTTTCAAATTCGAAATTAGTTTATGGACTTTAATTAAATTTATTGCAGTTTACTTTTATATAATTCACCTACAATAGTTTAATAAATAACCTATTTATTATTTTATTTTATCAATAGAACTAGTAGGTAGTAGGTATCTCTATTAGTATTGATTTTTTCTTCTCAATAATCATGACAAAATGGTGAATGGGCCTATTAAAATAATATTGCGAATATATACGCAACTATATGCACCAAATAAAAGTATTTTTTATAATATAATATAGTATGTCATATTATAAATAACAATGTCCTTATATTACAAGGAGCAATATTCTAACTGTTTTTATGTATTTATAATAAAATATACTTTTCTTAATAATCAAGTTTGTAGCCTAATGTAGGGTAGGTGTTCTATTTTCAGTTGAAAACAAATACAGTGGTGGCCAAAAGTATGGAAACTCTTTTTACTTTTTAAAATATCACAGAAAATATTGCTATGCTTGAACTCTCAGGAATATAAATGAACAGCTTATCAGCAAATAAAAGTATTCCAAAAATTACACAGCGAAAAAAATCTGTTTAGCAGTTTTTGTAGGAGAACAATAGATTTCTTGTGGCCAAAAGTATGGAAACCATAAAAAAGTACATTAAAATTATTTAGTTTAAGCTGATAAACGGTACGATTTGCTTCAGATAAATATAAACATCATGCCAAAGTCTAAATATTTCTCTACGGATTTAAAAAATAAAATAGTTGAATTATACAAGAGCGGTTATAAACAAATTCAAATAAGTAAAAATTTAAACATTTTAAAAGGCACTGTTTCGAAAATAATTCGTAAATTTAATAAAACAGGGAACGTTTCAACAGCTTTTAAGTCAGGAAGACCAAGAAAGTTGTGCAACAGGACAATGAAAGTAATGAAGAGAATATCAATGAGAGATCCAAGAAAAACATCCACAGACATTTCTCGAGAAATGGGTGAAAGGGGAATATCGGTGTCTGCACGCACGGTGAGAACAAGGTTGGATGACATGGGACTTTTTGGAAGAGTTGCGGTGAAGAAACCACTAATATCAAAGAAAAATAGGAAGGCCCGCTTTAAATTTGCTCAAGATCATCTCACCTGGTCTTATCAGAAATGGAATACTGTACTGTTTAGCGGCGAAAGCAAGTTTCAGCTGTTTGGTAGTGACGGGAGACGTTATGTCCGAAGACCAAAAGGTACACGGTACAGCCATAAGTACCAGATGCCCACAGTAAAACATGGGGGTGGGAGTATAATGGTATGGGGGTGTTTTTCTCGCTCAGGTGTTGGTCCTCTTGTTAAAATTGATGGGATAATAGACCGTTTCTTGTACAAAGACATATTGGAGAATAATATGCTGCCTCATGCTGATGAAGAAATGCCACTCAGATGGTTGTTCCAGCAAGACAATGATCCCAAGCACAAATCTCGGTTTGTTCAAAATTGGTTAAATAAACATAATGTTCCACTAATGGATTGGCCCTCACAGTCTCCGGATCTTAACCCCATAGAAAATTTTTGGGACCATTTGGATAACAAAATTCGAAGCCATTCTATTTCAAATAAAAATGAATTATGGGAAGTGCTAAAAACTGAATGGGCGGCCATTTCCAGTAAAGATTGTACGAGATTGATCGATTCGATGCCACGAAGATGTAGAGAAGTAATTAATTCAAAGGGATATTCCACTAAATATTAGTAATTTTTATATTATCTTGAATTTTAATAAACATTCTTCTTAAGTTTCCGTACTTTTGACCAAGAAAATATTCATAATTTTTTATATATTTTTTGATAGCTATAATTTT